GGAGGAGGATCCTGGAAATCAAAAGAACACTGCTATAAGAAATCTGACTTGTACTCCGTAAACTTATCTACTTCGAATGTCGGACGAATTCCGGCTGTAGTATGAGTTTTCACACTCCTTCCAAGCGGATGTTCGGGTAGTTGCATTAATTAACCAAAGACCGCCTCCTAACTGATTCTCTAAAGGCCTGTATGCACTAGGGCACATGTTGCGATACAAGTTGAGCGACTTGTATCAGGGGACAGGTCGCAGCGACATGAAACACCGATACATCCGTCCACATTGTATGTTAAGATCTCGGAAGAGGAGGTGCTGTTGACCTGTGTATTTAGCTGAAAAGAAATCGAAGCGCAAAAAGAGAGTGTGGGTAAGAAAGTTTTTAGAAGAAAGGGATACACGTTGTGTACTCTCAAACCTATAGATGTCAGACGGATCATTTTGCAACTTCACCAGAATGACGACAACTGATTTCGAGGTACTGTTGCAAATGGTTGGGAGTTCAATTGCGAAGACTAACACAAAATTTCGAGATTCAGTGAAACCAGAGACAAAATTAGCCATAACCTTGAGATTTTTGGCTGATGAATCGCCAGGGTCCACATTATTCAAAAAAAAAAAAAAAATGTTGGTAAGCAAACCAAGCTGGAACATACTCTTCATCAGTTCCTGCACCACTCTTCGTAGAATTTTGAATCTTCTTTCTTTCGCGCATAAACTGTGAGTGAACGTTGTGCATTTTCGCTTCGATGATGTTTCGTGGTGTTCCCATTTCTTCCGCGATGCTCTTCCATGCATCTGTCTTTTCATTCCGATTTTTATAATCGGCATATTGCCCGTTCCATAGACATTGATTTCCACGATATAATTCAATCAATTTTAAAACACGATCGTTCGACCACTGTACATTCATTGCTGGTCCCGCGACACGTCCACACTGCAAGCAAGCTACTGCAACACTCGAGACGTCCTTCGATGTTCCTTCGTGTTGCTGCCTCTCAACCGATAACCGGGCACATGAAATTTGTTGTGTATTCACTATACAGGCGTTTGGATTGACAAGATACTTGGGATGCGCTACACGGACGACAGAGTGATATGATCTTCATTGTTGCGGAACGTCGTAAATGTTTGAGTGTGTAACCCGAAATGTTTTGATATTTTTCTTCTGCTGACTGCATCCATTATCTCGTCGTTTAATCACTGTGTTGTTATTATTATTATTATTATTATTATTATTATTATCCCATCTATTCACCACTTTATGGGGTGTGTACTTCCATGTACCCGAGACAGACCTTGTCCCTAAGGTACATAGGGCAGCAGCTATTTCCGGGATCCATATTGTTCTTAGCAAGTGCCACATGTATTATATAATTTTATTTTATGAAAGCGTCTTTCGAATGATATATGAAAATCCCAAAATGGCGGTCTTCTGCAGTTCCCTGACGTCGTGTTCTCCCGGGATGTTGGCCAAATATTTTCTGAGTCTTTATTATTATTATCATTATTATTATTATTACATTTCTATATTTAGTTTATTGCTTGTTTGTTTTTGTATTGTAATGTTTGTATTGTTAGTGCTTGGCTGTTATTGGCCTTTTTGGCTGTTGTTAAGCACTTTAATAAATGAATTGAATTGAATTATTATTAAAACATTAATTTTTATGCCCGTAACACTACTTAATGTTTTTTTGAACTCATATTACATCTTAGCCCTACAGACTAACCAATAAAACAATGGTACGTAAACATTTATGTCTTCGGACATAATCTGTTCTATTACATCCTGCACGTATTACTGGATGCAGATTCCAATCCAATTTATCACGGACTGACGATTACACGGTTACACGAGAAACTTCTAATGCCTAGTTTACTGAGGCAATATAAATTTCCATGGAGTTATACGTATGTCGCGTTTGTTTTATGATCGGTTTATTTATTGAATTTGTACAGATAGGTAGAATACTGAAATCGTTAGGCCTATGTGTATTGAAGCGATTCATTTCACAGTGACCCACAGGATTACTACAAACACTAAAATTTCCCTTCATTTACGTATTAAGTCTAGATACCACAAATTAGTACTGGATTGCTGAAAATCTTATATGAGCAATTGTATTAAAATAATATTACATGTTTATTAGGTACAGTGTCGCACTTCATGTCATGCTTATCTTGAAATAAATTTTACCTAAATACAAATAGTAATACAGTAATTAAACCTAAGTTATGAATGAAAAAGTGAATTAATATGAAGATACAGATCAGCAGACAATGATGTTAGTTTATCGACACTGTCCGATTTAAAATAACACTGTGTAACAGAACTCTTGAATTTAACGCTGCTAAGCTTAAACTTTATTTAAATCAGTACTTGATTACAATATATGAGAAAAGAGGTCGATAATTATGCTACAAAACAAGTTATGAAACAAACATTTAAATGGTTATGCTTATATTATGTTAATGATTTGTGTGTAATTATACAGCAATCAAGGGATTTGTTTGCTAAAAATTGCAAGGTAGTCAGCTTTCAGCATTTCTTATTACAGCCAATAGGACAGCAAGAACCGCCACTGAACATGACAGTGCGTGCCTCCCATGCCCACAGCCTAACCCTTAAAACCTAACTGAATGGCATTCTGTCATTTCCTTCGTGTTATAAGGGGCAGTTTCCGAAGAGGTTTCTATACCAAAGTTCTGTATACATTCCTTGCGACCAGAAAATTAGCCATATTTCACATTACCCTGACAATATCCACTAGTCCACAGGTCAATACTTACTAATCGAGCTTCAAGGGAATTGTCTAAAGTGTCCTTATAATTCTACCAGATGACACGGTGTAACACCGCAACAGTAATTTTTTTACTCGCCGCCTTGAGAGACTGAAACGTCACTGATAAGGCTCCCTTACTCCGTTTTCTCTAATATCCTCCTTACTTGAATGAAACGTCCATTATAGAAAGGAAGAATTTACAATTTTCTAAATGGTTTACATTTTCGATTCCCGTATATACATTGTTCACATTGTCGTCTCCAAAATATTCACGTCTCTCATTCACTACAAATGAAGATAATTTAATAAACATGAATAAACAAAAGACCCCTTTCAAGCAAACCTGTATCTAATTAGCATCTCACTGCTTTGAAGTCTTACTTTTGACTAAAATCAGAAACCAGGAAAACAGAAACGAGTTTAATTATTTAACATAAAGCTAATTCATTTATAGAATTAGCTTACATCAATATCTCTGGAGTGGAGATACGGAATGTATAATTATTTTATTTGAATTTAATGTGCTTACAAAATATAAATTGGTATTACGATGTATAATCACGCGTTTATGCACTTAGATTCGGTATTACAAAATACTTTAGAGGCGGGTGGCTTCAAATTTCAGGCTTTCCGCAAACAGCAAGAGATTGCTGCCTCCGCCTTTAGATTCCTTGAAAAGGAGACGCGGAACTGAATCCCTTATTCTATATTTAGAACATAGTATTTCCGCCACAGTAATTAACTTTAGGCATACCTCAGAAAGAATTAAGCACTTCGGGAAGACGATTTCGTAGATTATTAATGAAGCTGTCCAATTGCAGAAGTTGTTTAGCGTGATACGAGATAAGGTAATAATTATAGACGATATGAAAAGTGACAGACAGGAAGTTTCTTTCTCCTAATTCTAGACACAATCTCAGAATTCATATAAAGGTGGCAGGGGAAAGTATCGAACATCTTCTGTCAGGACAGACAATTCGCCCACCGGGAGGCCAGTTCCAGTTCAGCGGTGGGGATGTTGCCTATTACCTAATCAACGTGTATCTTAGCTTTTACTTGCAAAAGTCAGATTTCCTTTTAGTGTTCATCCACTCTCTGGTGCAATGGTCTTCTATAAAACACTAGCGAAATCAATTCTTAGATTACGTTACGAAAGCAATTTTTAATGACGATATAATCAGTTTTAGATTATCATTAACCTGCTGGCTAAATGCTTGGAAGCCAAAAATACATAATTTGTTAATTCAAAAGGTATAATGTTTTTAATCAATTGTATAAGTGTTTCAGTTTATTCACAAAATGGCGGAATTTTAAATGTGGCTATGCAGTTAATTCGTAGTCTGGTAGGCAGCTTAATGAAGCCTGCAATTCTGTTGCCGTAAGAGTATTGATATTTTCTACAAATCGGACTTATTTTACCTCACATTTAAGTAAATATTTATAAGACAATTTGGATCTCTGTTTAATGAAGATGTGATATCTGCAGAGTCAACTTTCGTTTTATTGTTTAGAATTGGAAAATAGCACGATAATAGTCTTCAACGCAAGAAGACACTGGTACTGTATTAATAATTTTTAAGTATGTTTTGTTGCAGCATTTCTTTTCATACCTGATCGTCGATGCTCCTGTTGTTTATAAGCTGGTGAAGTGCAACAGCGCATCAAGTTCCGTTGTTCTTCAGTAGTCTTATTATAATTTACTGTGTTTGTGCAAATGTTGGAAAATGACGTGTGTCATTATTTTATTCGACGACATTTTAATAAATTATCAATTTGATTGTTTTGGTATGAATATCGCGTATCGCTTGTTGTCTGTTGCGTGCTGCTAGATACAAAGCAAGGTAAAAAAGTGAAGTTGTCCCACTACACGCCACGTAACCTCGGCACTACATGAGAGTCAGTGGTCCTAGTTACTTCGTGTATATCGTGCCGTAAGTAACGTACGATGCATTTTTCAAATTCCGCGACGTAAAGACATATAAGAGGAGCAGAATTGAATGTGATTGATATATACACAGAGATAATTAAGTTTTACGATTTAAAATTATAGTTTATGCTAGCTTTTGTATACAGATGTAAGCTTTTAAAACAAAATCTATTAGTGCCTGTAATATTTTGCCAGGTAATTCCCGATCCTTTGTATTCTATAGAACTCAACAAAATATGTTGTAAGTAAATATTAGAATGTCGTGTATTTAAACTGTTGTTTTGTGTTTTCAGGTGGCAAAGCTATTCTCGTACACGTGGTCTATGGGATTCTTCCTGTGCAAGGGGGTGCATTACTTGCAGAATGTATCAGCCATTTGCTCTGTACTCACTCTCACTGCCATGAGTATTGAAAGGTGGGTAAAGTAGCTCCTTGCAAATGACTGGCTCTGACTTACGAGTAATGACAAAACCACCATGACGGTACTTGAAATAAAATGCATATAATTAGATGTATACCTCAGTTCAAGAAATGGTTATGAAACTGTAATGCTACTCAACAACAGCCTTTGCTAGATTGCATAATTCTTTAAACTTATAAAACAAGAACTTGCATATGTTGAAGAAGACGGCTGGTGTATTGTATTTATATACACATTTATTTATAGTGTATTTAACGACTCTTTTAGTATTTCTGATTACACCGTGACAAATGAAAAAATGAGGATGATCATAAATAATTAATTCTAAAAGGTGTTAAAGGAACGGTCGTTGCATATTTCAGGGACTATTCCGGCATTTGTCTGAAAGGGTTTAAAAGCATAATTATTGGTTGCTGAAGCAGGAGGTACACATACTACAGATACCATAGAACTTAAATAATTAAATTGCACTAATAAACAAAATACAAGAACTTGGACTGTAGGAAGGACAGTATATTTAATTTGGTATTAATGTTCCCAGGTACTATGCTATCGTGCACCCCATGAAAGCAAAATACATGTGCACCATCAGTCAAGCCCGCAAGATCATCTTTGGGATCTGGGTGGCCTCATTTCTGCTTGCAGTGCCGAATCTCTTTTCGCAGGTCAGTCTTCCAGCCAGTACGACTTCAGTATGAGATGCATGTATGCAAGAGACCGTACAGAGGTAAGAGACAAAAGTTAAGGCAAATTCGTACCTGGTGCTTAACTAAGCACCAGGCCATGCAGATTTGTGGGGGAGCAGAGGTGTAGCTCCACGCATCAACCTCGGCACTTAGTGGAGGTGAGTTGTTAGCTTCACGCCCCGGCCGCTTTACATTCGAGAAGGAAAGAACCGAGGTACGCATGTGATAGGAGGGGGTTTGGCCCCAGAGCTGTGGCGAAGAGCTTAATCCTGCCCTTCCGGGAATAGACTTCCATTCTCAAGCGAGGCTAGATAAAAACTGGACTAAACTCAAGTAGTGCCCCTGTGTAGAATATTGAAGTTTAGAATAAAAATATTAATTGTAATTACTGTAATTTAAGACAATTCAGTTACGGTAGCAAAATGGAATGGAACAAAACAATATGTTGACATGAATAAACTCGAAATGAAAAATTCACACAGACGGACACAAGCTTCCCTCTTCTTCGCTTGTGAACTTTTTGCAAAAAAAAATGCATTTCTTTATTACACAGGAACACGCCTTAGTAGGAATGAAATACAAGGGGTTCTACTGTGTGCAAACAATGGACATGCCTTCACTCTGGCGTTTTCACGAGGTCTACATGTTGCTGTTGATCCTGGTGATACCAACGTGCATAATGATTGTTGCCTACGGCTCCATCTCCTGGGAGATTTGGCACGTCATGCAGAGGCGCTATGATATGACCAGCGGCCAGGCGTAAGTAAAACCATGTCTCAGTCTTCCCTAAACTCAATCACAGCTTCATTCCGGTTCAGTACAAGCTCTGAGCTTGCTAATGTCAGGATATTAGATAGGAAGCGAAAATAACAAAAAAGCGTGTGTCCAAAATCAGTTCGGAATGCATACGTGTTTCTGTCTTTGCTTGTATTCAAGCTCGTACTTTCCTTGTGCCCTCTAATCGTAACCTTCAGTGCTTCAACATATCAGCTAAGTGCAAAAATAATAAACTGTGGACAGTTTTGATAGACATCTAATTACTCAGACTCGTTTGTTCGGTGTTTCGCGCCCTTTTCAATTCCAGGCATAACATTACAAAATGGTGTTGTTATACCGTTTACAACAGCTGACATACACTATTTACTAACTTAACTTACATTCTCATGCCATATAATTCAATGCAAAACCAATTTCATGACAGTCCATATTATGATTGATACGACTCGTGTCTATAGCATCAAACCTCTCGCTGTACTGACAGGCTATAGGAGTAGATAATTAATTGGTTTATTGCGAATTGACAATACAATAAACAGACATCGATCAAGTACTGTAGCCCATCTTAAGACACTCTCTCAGAAATCATCGGGAAACCCAAGAACAGTATCTTTTGTGTTCAGATATGTCACAGAATTAGGCTTACTTCAGTGCTGCTTAGTAATTTGTATGTGTAGCGCAGAAGCCACTGTTTTGACAGAATTTGTTTTTATTTCTGTTAAGGCAGTTAGTAGAAGAGATAACTACATTTTCGTAGGTTTCTTCCTTTCCTTACACTTAGTCAATCCTAGTAACCCACTAAGTACAAACAATTTAACCAGCTCCATGCAGCATTGTCCTTCTTGTAAAGCTAATAGTCGTCCAGCCACTTAAAAAAAAATCCCTCTCCTCGAACAGAAAACGTAAATTAATCGTCTCGCTCATAAGAGCCTACTACTTGTCAACAATCAGAGTCAGATAAATTTGGACAAAACCTCACTCGATATCTGAGATTCATTTTAATATTATCCGCTCTTCTGCATCTAGGTAGCTCAAGTGTTCTCATCCATTCACATTTTCCGATTCCAGTTTTGTTGATTTTCATCTCTTCTCTGCTTACTATATACGCTATCTGGTAACTGTATTTTAAAAACATGGTGGACACATTTTATAGCCCCGTTCTAATAATTATTGACGTTCTCGTATCAGTTGAAGAGGCCGGATTAAACCGGTTAGAAGATTTGAAACGTACAGTGCGAGGGATATGGAAGAAAGATGTGATCTCTTTTAAGGTTCTACCTAATCATTCCACTTGTGGGTTTTATTGAATCCTAAATATATATCAATAAAGGCAGCCGAATTCAAAGCAGAAGTCTTTGAAAAGCAAGGCTCACGTCAATCTGTTCTGCGCTTTGACTGCTGTGACTAAGGTTTCTCAAGATCTTTTATCAGCTATTACATAAGCATAATCTGTCTAAAAGTACCGATCAACTAGCTCGTTTGAAAGATGCAGCCAGACTGCTCGTGGGGCAGAGACTTCGGGTCACTGTTGCTGGTTTGTACAGCCAACTACTCTACCGGCACCGTAGTGAACCTTTCGACTTCGTGACTCCTGTTAATACCAACCTGGGCTGCGGCTCGTGAAACCATCCACATTTATTGAGGCACACGGGACGGAGTACGAGCACGGACATGATTAGTCCAGAGGCTGGAGTTTAACTGTGTCCCGGAACCACTCACAGAAGTCAGTCCTTCCAAATTACAAAAACAGCGCTTTCTTGTATACGGCCCTACTCACTACTGACAACTTTACAGGGTTTTCCGTAATTTTGCAAGCTGCATCTTTTACTGACGCCTTGTAGTGTTGAATATAAATGTTGAGACGATTTCTTTTAATGAAAAGAGAAACAAACCCTTGGCCGAAAGCGGTTAGGATATGTTTCGATGCATTATTCCGAGATTTCTATGAAAGGAATGAGGAGTACAAGAAACAGATAATACGTAGTCGGTATAGTGAATTCTAGGTCAGGATTCGAACTGGGTACCTTCAAAGAGTGTGTGTTATTTTCTCGTCTAACAAAATTCGCCAGACTTTTTCCCGACCAGGAAAAGGAAAGCAATATATTGAGGGGTTTCAAAATCTGTAATCATCGCAAAATAAAGGACGTGGCGTGATATGAAAATGACATACGAAATTTTAGTACGCTAACTTTATGGAAGCAGACTACTTGAGAGACGTCAGCGTACGTGTAAGTGTAATATTAAAGAGGATCTTAAAGAAATAGAGTTAGAGAATTAATTAGATTTAAATGAGCAGGATAAACACCAGCAGTGTGCCCTTGCGGACACATTAATGGATCACCTTAGTAACTGCCAGATTCTCAAGGACTCTTACCCAATGTGCTGTTTATATATGTATATAATTCGTTCACGGTTCCTCACGTGTAAGACGCCGTGAATACAAGACTCGTATCAGCACAAACCACAACTAGAGATGGTACATGTAGTTCGAACATAATAGGATGATGATAAACAGTTGATTCATGTTACAAGTAATCAAGTTATCCGAGTTCCGTTATCCTCTGTACTACACACAACGACAGAGGGTCTTACCAGCGTCGTGACAGACACAAGGATCTTTGGTTCTCAAACGAGCAACATGCTAGTGTTCCTTTGCACAGCCGCTGAGATGTAGGCCTAGGCAAACGTTCTTATTTCGTGAAATGAAGGCATTCATCTTCCTTCTCAGGCGACTGCCCGGATCTTGGAATCTGCCAATATCAGATGCTTCTCTTCTCTGCTACTTTGCAATGCATAATCATCGTCTCATCTCATTGTGCGCTGTATAATAGACGATCTGGTGTTTGGTACAGCAGAAGCAATGCCGAACTTACGCATGCGCAAAGTAAGCTGACCCTTAGGTCCTCACGATATGACGGGCCTCAAAAAATGCATATTAAATTTTAATGTGTAACTTCATAAAATCGTCTTTGTATCCCAGTGCTAATATAATTCTTCCATTCATAACATTTTCATTTTTTTTGTTCTTTATGTTACCTTCAGTCAGAATAATAAATGTTTACATCGACTTCCGAATTTTTTAGGCTTCTTAAAATTATATAGCTTATGGTCTCAGAAGGTTAAAGAACGGCCTTGAATGGAATTAAGTATGAAAGGAAGAGCATATATTTTTAAAGTCGCGTCACCACAATGCAAGACAAAATCATAATATTATACAGTTAATAAATCATTCGAATTTATGGCAAAGCTTAAACTTTTGGGAACGGCAGTAACAACTCAGAATTTTATTAGCGACGAAATTAAAAGCAAATTATAATTCTGAGAGCGCGCTCGGCCATTCAATTCGAAATATTGTCTTGTTTCTAAAAATTTAAATATTAAAATATTCAGAACTATAATTGCACTTGTTTTACTTCATGGATATGAATCTTGGCCTTCATAATCGTCTCACAATTTTCCGTTAGGTGTAAATAACCTTCCCAGTTCATTCTGTTTAATAAATAATTCGTTGTAAACTGACGACTTTGTGATTCAAGAGCTTGCTGCACCTTTCACAGCTAGCTTTGTTACCGACAGTCCCTTGTGTCTAGCAACGACTGTAGTTCTTTTCTGCTGCTGTCGACCGCAGATGGAGTTCAGTTCAGGTAGTAACCGCGTAAAATACGAATCTCACTGCGGGCCGCTCTGAAGTTTTGGCACCGAATGGTTCATTATGATTATCTTCTTTGTAATTAACTTTTCATCTAATTAAATTAAATTACTTCACAGCTTCCTAAATAAACTTAGGCGATTCAGTTGGAATCCCTCAGGCACTACCTCACCATATGCGACAAAGGGATATTTCATGCTTCCTTTTAAGTTTCGGAACCGAAACTTCGTCTGCATAATTTACTGCATTAATAATGCAAATTACGTTCTCTCATTTAAAACGTAAAAGTCTCTCATTATAATGCCATTTCAAATTACACTCCTTAAAATTTCAAATGGAGTCCAAATAAACTAAGAACGTTAGTTTTATACAAAACTTGATAAAAATTAGATTTTAATTCACTATTTCTTAAAAAATCTTATGATATTGGCGTACCGTGTGGCGTCAAAAGCACGCAGATGGAAAAAGTTTGCCACTGATACCAAACAAAGGCGTTACACAAGTGTTAAATTTGGATTCCAGCATTTTTCAAAGGACGATAAGAGAAAGTATGACAAAATATTCGTATTTCCCCATAATGCGGAGTATAATCTGTGACCTTAGCATAAACTTTAGTTTTTATCCAACACTTTCTTTATGACTGTAGGCAAAATGTATACAAAACACCCTAACGTGGTCTCTTGCCATATATAGCGATAGTGCGGACCCAAAAGCACAAAGTTAATTTTAATTCAACAAGCGAGGACCACAGCAAATATTTATAAATTCAAATACATTAAATTAGTTTGTTCTTAATTAAAATCGTTAGAAATCAAAAAAGTAGTACTAACAACGTGTCGTGGGTTGTGTCTGCCCACACTAGCTCCTATGATTTTCGAATTCTGTTTTGGGTCTGTATGCACAGGGTACGAATCTCTCTTAAATTGAAGATTTCCGTCTTCTGGGTTGTTGCGCTGTGTAGTCTGGTCGATGTTAACCTACGCTTCAGAGGTCATACTGCCTCCGTCATCAGGGCGATGAATCGCATCGACCAGACTACACAGCGCAACAACCCAGAAGACAGAAATCTTCATACTCACCGCTGTGAAAACCTCAAATCCTCTCTTAAATTCTCTGTGTAACTACATCTGTGAAATACTTGCATTTTTTGACAGATTAAACCCAAGTGGAGGTCGAAGCGGTGTGGAAAGCTTTCCACTGCGTTACAGCAAACGCTTGCAACGAGGCATGAGCTCCAATGCAAGCAGTTTCCGAGAATCCATCAAGAAGGCGAATGCCATCAGGTCCGAGGAGGAACACAATACCGTCAAACAGGTGACTGGCGCTCCTCCACTCGGTTCACGGCTTCCTGGACTACAAAATCATCTTCATCAACAACAAAAGACCCACCAGGTGCAAATATGATTCAGTAGCCAAGATTGTCACCTACCGATGGTGCATTTTCAACTGTCCCAAGCAGAATCTAAAAAATTACCGGAAATCTAATAAAATATCTGGAATTTTCACACTATTTGCCATGATTGAGCATCCGTGGTTTTAAACAATGTGAACAGCCATTTCTTTCTTCTTAGTCTGCCCTTTTATACATTTTTCAGTTCTCAGTGTATAAGGTTTCTGTTCAATGAATATGTCGGACATCGTCTTCATTCCATGTTATGTAATGACAGATTCGTGCTGCACGCTTTTCATAATATATCTAAACATTAATAACAGAGGTTGGAAATTTAAAATCGTGAAAACAATAGCATTTAAAAATTAATGTTGTTTTTTAAAAATTAATCATTTCACCTTCCCCTCCCCCCCCTACTTTCCATTCATTACACATTTATTCATCCTGAAAGAATGGATCTTTGCCTTCATTCTTCTTTTCGCCTTTAATACATAATACTTACACATAAGACAAGCCCATAATATATCTAAAAATAATGGTACCATTACTTCATATTTACAGATTATTAAGTTGTAAATACTATAAAGCGTAAGATAATATTCCTTCAAAATTTACCCAGTTTTGTAATCCAACACTTCTGGAATCAGAATTAAGCTCCTTGGCATTGAAGTGATTAAATAAATAACTGGGTTTGCAATTGAAATGCGTGTTATTATGTGGCCAAATGCAGGTCATCAAGATGTTGGTAGCAGTTGTGGTGCTCTTCGTGCTGTGTTGGGCACCCCTTCTCATCTTGAACGTTCTATATGCCTATGAAATCCTCTCTAAGTACAGCAACGATGGAGATAATAAGAACATACAGTCGGCTTTCACTGTCATGGCATACTCGAACAGGTAAGTGTGCTGTGTTACGAGAATATTCCAAACAGACTGTATTGAAAGAGTGATAGCCGCTCAGCTGATGAAATTGCTTGCCTGCTAACTAAACTAAAAGCTCCTAGCCGAGTTTAAAAGGGCCGCTATTAGACCCAAGGAAAATAAATTCAAATACGAAATATATTGATAAAATAGTTGTATTGACTGAAGACTAATGTAACTTAACTGGATCAATTTAAGTTATAAAGTTCCCACAGATAAAACCGCCGTTCATATCAGTCTGTCTCTGTATTAAGTGGTGTGTCCGTATCTTCCAGCTGCATTAACCCACTCGTGTACGGCTTCATGTCGAAGAACTTCCGCGAGAGCTTCTACAAGGCCCTTTGCAGATGCTGTCGCGGTGGACGGGTCCCTAAACGCAACACCTCCGTGTCACAGACCAGAACAACATCAGTGCGGTAAGCAGATTCCAGGTAAACCTGTTACTCCAACAGGTGAACCGCTTCCTTTTCAGTATTTTTTAATAATGCTACATATTGTGTTTCGTAAACTTTTCCGCTCGTGTTCATGAAGATCGCCGACGTCACAAATTTGATGTCACTGCATCTATCTATATATATCTCTACAAGTATGCTAACTGGTTACATTGCCCCTAACCACAATTTATAAAAGTTTGAAATTTCGTCTTCAGCCCTTGCCTTTGTGTATCGGTATCATACAGTTGTCATGCCCACCTACGAAGCTGAAACTGCAGGCAAAAATGACTCTGAAACTGGTATTACGAGTTTTCTGGCGAAGGTGTGTTGTTAAACTGACACATACTCATTAACACTTTTCTTCGTCATATTTTGTTTTGCTAACAAAATTATGACCTACCTTTGGCCTGTGTTTGAGATTCCCGCCTCTTCGATGGTAAGTGTACAGTTCAATCCACCAAATTTGCAACTCAAGTATATATATTTGTGTGTGAGAGAGAGAGATTTCTGGTTCTCGCGATTTCAAACACCTCTGAAACATTAGTAAACTTCTAAAAGATTACACGGCGCAACAACTCAGAAGAGACCATCTTATTTCCATT